GGCCAGGCCTCACCGCATTCGGCAACCAGGGTACGTGCCTGATCCCATTCCTGGTCCTCCCAAGTTGTATCTGCTCTATCACGATTCCATATTTGGCCCCGGAACTCCTCACCGAGCTCATCAACATCCGTTATGATCTGATGGGTCCGGAAAGTTCCCGACGTGGGAAGCGCCCCTGAGATCACCGTGACGTCCACATCCTGAGCCTTGCCGCTTGGACAGCAATACGTGCCTCTCCAAAAGTGGCTTCTGTTCCCTCTGCCAAGGCTATGCATTCCTGTAGCCTAATGCGGGCTCTACCCTTGGGGGCTCTGATCATCCTGCCTTGTATGTTCACATTATGATTCAGCCACTGGATGGGCGGGTTGCCCTCGCCCTGAATCCGGTGGAAGTGTTTTTTCAGTCCGTTTGCCCTCACATCAATGGCATCAGCTTGGCACACATGGACATTTCGAAGTGCTGTCGGAGCAAGTGGTCAGCATCAGCTTTGGTGACCTTATACATCTGCTCCAGAAAAATCACAGGCGGCGCCTCAGCGTAGAAAGCAGGGGTCCCACCTTCCTTCGCCAGCCACGCGGTCCAAGATCTGCCATATCCAGATGCCTTTTGAATGGCAGCCCACTGATTTTGGATATGTATCCATGCAGTGTAAGAAGTATGTTGGTTCCATCCTTGTGCATCCCACTGCTTCCGCATATTCAGCAAAGTCTGGATACGTCTTACCTGTCGGGTCCTCTGTCGCGAAAGGACAGTATAACATTCATAGGTGGGGTCATAACCACCACCCCACGCCTGCTTCGCCACCTGCTTCTTTTCTTCGAACTTCATCACATCATAGTACGTGTTCGGCAAAGGAAAATGTCGCGTCTCACGATAAACCCTAGCCACTGCCTCCTCAACTGCTTCTGACCAATGTCTGAGGCATTGTTCCGTGGAAATGCTCCGGTCCTGGAAAGCCGACTGCAAATCTTGTTCCTGAGAAACTTGTTCATATGCTGCCGCTAACATTGCCTGGTTCAGCTGCAAGTCGGCCCAATTCTGTGGCATAGACCATATCACATTGCCCACATCTTCCTGTGCAAAATTGAAGTCAATACACAGGGGCATGTGGTTTGCAATCCTCTTGTCATGTCGGACCTCTGCAACGGAGATATAAGGCAGCAATCGCGATGGCACGATACACGTGTCATTGCGTGTCACTCCATTGCAGGTAGGCGGGAGTCGGACATTTCTGGAAAGTTCATAGTACTCAAAAAACTCATGAAAACCCGCCTGTTGGAAAGGTGCAAAAGATTGCAAGCCCTGAGGGGGTGTGTTGAAATCACCAGTGACGATACTCAGACCCTGATAAGACTTCACCCACATCCATGCATCGCTCAAAAGTTGCTCGTTGACTTGTTGTTTGCCTGCTCCACTACATGCTCCATATATGACCACCACTTGAACCGTAAAAGGTCCCATGCGAACCATACACCTCATCATTCTTGCAGCTTTCACAAGGTCAGGTTCTTCATTTTGCCATGCAAACGGTCGACACACCGATTTGCTGATAACTGCAACTCCACATGCTCCACCTCTCATATTTGCTCTCCCCTGCGCACGATGCGGAACCGTTACCGGCGCCGGTGCCCCCCAGAAGGCTTTGAAGCCCGTCGAAGAGAGTTGGCTCCGAATGCTGATCTGTGCATCACTTGTCGCTGTTTCGGCCAGGCACACGGTATCGGCCTTACATGACATCACCTCATCCAGCCTGGTATACAAATGGGTTGGATTCGTTATCATAAGTCTATACCTGTGCGCCTCTGGTCCGGGATTCTTAGCTTCTCCTACTCTGGTACCTTTCAAGTACTCCCCATGCGTGAGGCCGTCAAGCCTCCCCCGAAAAAAGCACAAGTGCAACGCCGTAGGGCGGGAAAGCATCTGCACCCAGCGATTTGACCAATTGTGTGGGTCCTTGTTCGCCTTTACGGTCTATTCCCGAAAAAAAGGCTTCGCACGTCCCGGCCTCCTGGCTTCAGTCAGACATCATGTCCTCCCGCCCAGTGTCCTTGTCTCGTCTCTGTCGCTTGTCTCGGCCATCTGTTTTCTGCATGTTCAAGATGAGCTGTCGCAGCTCATCAAATCCACGCGTCATCTGTGCATCTTGCTTCGCATTGAGTTTCATCATGGTTGCTTCAAAACCTTTGCTCACCTTATCCAATTCCTCTTGGGTCTTGGTTGCCATCTCCCGGAAGTCACCCCGAATCTGCTTCTGCTCACCTAGCATCTGTGCCTGTGTGTGGGTAACCGTCTCCAGTCTCTGTTGCATTGCTGTAATCTGTTTGTCCTGCGCTTGCACCTTCTGTTCCAATTTTGTGACAGCCGGTCCCTGTGCTTGCGAGCCACTTGCAACTGTAGCACTTTGGATCGGCACGCTTGAGCGTCCGAGACTCTTCATCCACGGATCATTCACCCAGAGCGGGTCGTCCTGTCTCTGCGGCTCCTGTTTCGTCATCCCTGCCAAAATCTGTGGTGTTGCCCCGGGCTCCCTTGTCTGCAATGGCTTAATCAGCACTGGGCTTTCATTGAACATTTGAAATTCATCTGCCGGCGCACTCTTCGCTGCTATCATCCATGCCGTTGGCCCCAGTGAGCGCACCACCGTTGCATCCTCCCACTGTATCATCTTGATCCACTCACGGATGTTGTCCATGGTGAGTCCCTTGGGAAGCGGTTGGACCTTAAAAAGGACCCTCCCCGATCGAACCTCCGGCTCTTGCTCACCCGGCCTCAGCTGTTGCCAGACTTTCTTGTGATCCGTTCTGAGCACCCGGATGCCCATGCCCTTGCGCGATCTGACCAGCCCCATTTGTGCATCGCATTGCTTTGCCAAAAGAATCGCGTTCTCCCTTTTGCTTTCACTCTCCATCCAAATGACAACAAATTCCACCTCCTTCTCCGAAGGTGTCTGTAGCGGGCGCAGGTACACATGATTGTGGCCGCTTTGCTTCAACACTTTTTCAAGCCCAACGCGGCTCAGGCGTGCCAAGAAACCAAACGTTTCAGCTTGACTCCACGGCACCACCTTGGAGTTTTTGGTCCACATTCTCCTCCATGGCGTACCCCGCAGGATTGCGTTACCGTCCTGAAAAAACTCCAAAGTGGTTCTAACAGGCGCCTGTTTCATGCGGTTCCATTGAATTTCATCCAGCTCGTCTTTGTAAATTGCAAAGGCTGAAACGATCGTCTGCTCGACCGTCACCTGCTTTATGGATGCCGGGGCGAAGCTGATCCTGTGATCGCTCATCTGATGAGCTGTGACTGCAAGTATCACAGGTTGCTGCTGCGCATCGAAGGCCGGCACCGAGATCCTCTTGCAATCATCTCTCTGGCACCGACAATCATGTCCCATCACCAGCAGAGCCATCGGCAGGTTCCACTTGACTTCACTCGCCAGGTAAGGCATCGCCGCCTCCATGTCCATGAGAATGATCGCCGCATCCGAATGCGCTGCAATATCCGTGAGGATTGTGGCAGGCTGCCCTTTATCGTCTTTCGCGTGTCCATTGCGCAGCGTGAAGTGTCTCGCCAGGCAGAGTGCCGGGGCATTCTGCCTGTGAGCCCCCTTCAGATTTGGCAGCTTTGCTCCTGCGGCCGACGCGAGTCCCAAAATGCCCTTGTGTCTCTGCTGGTCATTCGTCTCAGCTGCCGTGCGCATCGCCCTCGGGCCTCCAACTTTGTCCACCACCGTCTGCGCCCGTCTGACGGCCTCCGTGTCCTCCGCTCCTTGCGCTCGAAGCATCGCCGCAAGCGAAGCAACCGCGTCTGGAGCCTTCTCCGTGTCCGTCCTTCCACCTCCATGAAGTGGTGCCACCAGGTGAATTGTGACCTTGTCTCTCTCTCCGCACAGTTCGCTCAGCCTTGTCTCCTGTGTTGCGGATATGCTGCGCAGGCATGGTTCAAGCGCATCCCACAATTTGCGAGATGAGGCGGAGGACAGTCGCTTCGTTGTGTTGCTGCATGAAGACAGGGGAAGAAGAGACACATCGCTTGAATCCCGTTTTCAAGATCTGCTGATGCATGTGTACCTCAGCACTTTGGTGAAGGCGATGGACTTATCGGGGCCATTGGCGAGGGTACGCATCAAGATGTGGCATGGAGTAGTGTATGAGGGGGAGGTGCCGGACAGCGAGAATCTTGTGTTCATACAGGAGGCATGGCAATTCGTGAGGTCGTGGACGGAAAGGGCAGTGGAGATGCCACACATCCGAACGGTGGCATGGGGGAGGACAATCACCTCCACGGTAAAGCGCAATGGATAGCATGAACTCCTGCTTACAAAGCAACAGCACCATACCCGTCTCGTGTAGTCGTCTGATCAGCCACCTTCCTCCTGCTTCCGAAAGAATGGTGTACAGACAGTGCATCCCCTTCTTCATGGGCGGCGCATTCATGTGATACTGCAATGAGGTTGGTTTTTCGACGCTAGATCTGATGTTCACCAGTCGCTCCACCCCCTGTTGTCCGTTAAGGAACCATTTTGCAAGTTTTGTCCAAATGCGATCTTTCACTGCAGCCGACGGCAAAATCATTTTTCATTGTCCAACCCAAGGCCACGAAAAAACTTGTCTGACCAGAACCACGTGTCTTCCGCACTCATTCCACTCCGCCTGGGCGATGGTCATGAGCTCCTGTTTGACCTCACAATGCAACGAACCTGGCTCGATGCAAAAAGTCAGCTCAAAGAAATGCAGTGGCTGGTTGATGTTTCCCCATCTCTCATCTGGTTGCAGCATGATTCTCCTCGAACTATCTCGCATGATTGCCCAATTGTCGAAAAGTATTCCCTTCGTCTCCAGGACCTCTCTGATTGTGTCGTCAATCCCGCCTTGCAGTTTGGCCGTCGTGCCTGCGTGATGGCACTCCACCGTGTGCATTCCCGGCATAGGCTGCGTGGGGGAAATGGGTGATGGCATGGATTCCCTCCGACTCAAAAACCAGAAGGATCCCCTCCTTTCCACCTGCAAATTTGCCGGGTGCAAAAAACGTTCTGCCAAATCCGGGATAATCCGGTTCGCCTTTTCCTGTGTCAGGATGCCCAATTGCATAAAAGCCTCCTTCAGAATGGCCACTGCATGCAAGATGACCAATTGATTGCCCACCACATGTTGTGCCAATCTGCAGTCCTCCGGTATCAGAGTTCCAGGCAGGCTCCCGTGGAGGATCACGAATTCCATCGGCGATATCAGTCTGAATTTTCCCTCCAAGTGCACTTCAACCAGTTGCGCTAACAGTTTGTGATCGCGGAGGAAGTCTGTCGGGAAAGCATGTGCATTTCCATAACTTGCCATGGCTGTGGAAACACATTCATCCATTCTCAGACACCGCGCCTCGATGGCGCTCCTTGCGCCGGTGGCAAGAAAAGGTCTTCGTCATAGATGTATTCCCTTTCAGGTGTCAAGATCAGGTTGTGGATATGCTGCGCAGGCCAAGCAAATCTGAACACATCCCTGACCAAGATTGATTGCAGTCTACCCAATGGCATGCCGACTTTGAGGTGCCCCATAGCTGAGCTGAGGTCCCTGCGGATAATCACCGCCAAGAATCGCCCCCGTCTGATCGGCCTGAAAGGCGCCAGCTGCACCTGTGCGAACCTCAAATCCGCAGATCTCCATGAGTTTCTTTAGGATCTTCCAATCCACATGGTCCTGCAATCCTGAGACGTTCTCCAAGAAAGCCCATTGGATCTGTGCCACTCGCATGCTCCATATAAAGTCCAAAAAGGGCCTTGCCTCTGCAGATCGAAGGCCGTGGGCCTTTCCGGCTTTAGAAAAGGGCGGACATGGCGGACTTGCCAAAAAGGTATTAACCTGTTTCGCTGCTGTCATCTGGCAGATATTGTGGGCCGTAGCATCAACGTTCCAAACAAAATGGTCATGTTCCCCTGTTTCATGCAAATGTCTGAACGTACTGCAGTTGTGATTTGCTGAATACACTTCCGCTATTTTCTCATCAATCTCAACCGCACATGCCACTGTGAGTGAAGATCCATCCAACAAGAAGGGCTCGATCAACCTGCAGGCTGAAGTCCAACCCCCCATACCCCCCGCAAAGAGTTCCGCAGCCCTGATATGGGGAGAAAATTCAAGAAAGCCTCAACAAAGCGGGTTCCGCCGTAGCCTTGGTACTCCTCGTCCGTGGCCTCTGCGGGAGTGCGGAAGCCGTCCTCGGGAATTGCCTGCAGAGGCGTGTGCTGCAGGGGCCGAGGGTTGGGGTCCTCGCTGGACTGTACGAAATCGTCCAAGTAGAAGTGGCTTGTGACGAACGAGGTGGCCTTGCGGTCCGGCTGTCCAGCGGCCTCATTCCGCTCAAGGTAGCCCACCACCTGCTCAAAGCGCGGGCGCTGGTTGAAGCCGTGCGCCCGGAGTGTCTTCATTTACTGTTGCGCAACTTCGCCCGCCGCCCGTTCCACGCCCCGGCGCTCGGCCCGCGCGTAGCGCAGCTGGGGTACCTGGCCTGCCTGCCTGCGTGCCTGCGTGCCTGCCTGCCTGCCTGCCTGCCTGCCTGCCTGCCTGCCTGCCTGCCTGCCTGCCTGCCTGCCTGCTGCCTGCCTGCCTGCCTGCCTGCCTGCCTGCCTGCCTGCCTGCCTGCCTGCCTGCCTGCCTGCCTGCCTGCCTGCCTGCCTGTCTGCCTGTCTGCCTGTCTGTCTGCCTGCCTGCCTGCCTGCCTGCCTGCCTGCCTGCCTGCCTGCCTGCCTGCCTGCCTGCCTGCCTGCCTGCGCCAAGTGCGGTGCACGGCCTCCGTCAGCCGGCTCACGTCGTCCAGGTGCCGCTGCCCCTCCTGCGCCTGCCTGCGCTCCCCAAGCCAATTGTTGAAGGCCCGCGCCTCCTCCAGTTCTCGGTAGCGCTTCAGCAGCAGCGGCTGCAAGTTATAGCTGGGGTACGTCTTGTGGAGCATCCGCGGCTCGTTGCGAGGCTCGATTGACATCATGCTTTTACACTAGTACGCTTGCGCGTGTTGTCAACCGGTCATAGGCGGACTGCCTCTCCAGCATGCGCAGGGCGCGCTGCTGCTCTCTTGTGAGCTGAGGCGCCTCCGCCGGTGCCTCAGCCGGTGCCTCTGCTGGTGCCTCCGCCGGCGCCGTCTCAAGTGGAGGCGGCTTTGGCTTGCGCTTTGGAGCAGCCGGCTCAGTAGGCACGTGCTTCGGTTTGTTCTTGCTCCCAGGGGGCCTGCCCCGCCGTTTCGGTTCCGCCGGCGCAGCGTCCTGCGCAGCGTCCGGCGCAGCGTGTGGCGCAGCGTGTGGCGCAGCGTGTGGCGCAGCGTGTGGCGCAGCGTGCGCCTCTTGCGCCTCCGCCTCTTGCACCTCGTGTTCGGTCGGCTCCATTTAATTATACGTGGTCAAGATATAACACGAACGACAAAGACGACCCGCGAAGCCGGACGACGTTGCCGCCCAGGTCGGTCAGCCGGAAGCGCATGTGCCTCAGGGTAACCGGGCCCCTAAGGGCCATGAAGTGCCCGTCGTCTGAGCCCGTCTCCGCAATGGTACCCACTCCGCTCTTCAGCGTGATCTTGGAGAGGTTGCCCAGCACTCTGCTGGCGTTGGCCAGCTGGGCGCAGCGCAGGTAGACCTCGTTGTGTGCCATCATGCGGACGAACTCAAAGACCTGCTGCCCGCCGGAGACAAAGCTCGGGCCCAGCATGTGGTCCACGCTGAAGGGCTTCGTCGGAGAGGCGGGCGGCGCGGTGGGGTAGTCCGCCGCGTCAGGAAATTGCTGGCAGCTCCAGGTCGTTCAGAATGAGCCTGTTGCCGTCGTAGGCAACGCTCAGACTGTTCGTGGTCTCGCTATAGGTGGCGGTGGCAAAGTTGGAGCTGATCCAGGCGGCCAACCGTGCGTAGAGGTAGCGGCCCCGGTCCGTGGACAAAAAGCTGTCGGCAGGCGGATCTTGTAGACGGCGAGCCGGGCGTTGCTCTGCAGGTGCAGCAACTCTCCCAGGTCGACCTCAAAGTCGCTGTCCGAGCCGGCTACCCTCTTGCGGCTGTCCACGTAGATAGTGGTCATCCTTTTTCTAAGGAAGCCGCCCGTTCTGCGGACGACGGGCGGCTGGACGGCTGCGACGGAGGTGCAGCAGGAGATGTTCTCGCATCTAGCGTTGATTAGCGTGGAGCTGGCGAACAGCTGTCTCGGCTCATAGCGTCTAGTGCTGGCAGTGTTTGCCCTGGGGGGTAGCTGAATGAGCCATGGTTTCTTGCGATATGAGTGATGATACATGGAAATGTTTGCTTCAGGATCAGGGAGGGAACGTCGAGTCCTTTTTGGATTGGTGGCGTGGTTTGCCTCGTGGTTTGCTTTTCACCAACAGCTTGGAGAACAAGGACTCAGCAGGGGTTATTCTTTCGGCACTGGAGCAGGATTCTTCGGGCGCATGGAGTGCCTTTGTGTGGAAGGACCCGATGTTTCAGCATTATGAAGCTTGCGCTATGGGTGCTGGACTGATCCAAGATACGAAGGTCCATATTTGGAACATGGATTATCTGCAGTCTTTTCGCATGGATGTGAATTTTGCGGCATGTACTTCAGTGCGAATTTTCGAAAACCAAATATGGTGCACCAGAGACTCTTGACGACCTGGCAGGAGACCCCGAGGCCGCCTGGCCAGCAACGGTCAGGGGCCGCCCTCCATCACGGACCGTCTGCGCAGCACTGCAGACGGCGCTCAGGCGGCAGCGGACCTCATACGCACAGGGGCGGCGGGGCTTGCAGCCGCGCAGGCCTTCCGCTCTCAGCCAGGACGCAGCTGAGTACGTGCGCCTGCCCCGTCCGGGCCAGGCGCAGCCGCCTCCGCAGATCATAGGTCGGTCCAGTGACGTGGAGCGCCTCCTGGATGAGGCGGGGCAGCGCGCGCAGGAGGTGGAGCGTGGCGCAGCGCAGGCCGTTGAGGAGACGGCGGCCGTGGCTGCGGAGGAGGGCAAGGTTGCCCTTGCCGCCGAGGGCGTGGGCGGAGCCTTTGGGTACCTGGGGGGCCTGGCAGAAGGAGCCGCTGCCCTGGCGCCCACCGCGGGCGAGGTTGCTGGAACGCTGGCTGGCGCGGCGGGAGTTGGCGCAGCTGCAACGGCGGGGCTGGCCGTGGGCATCGCGGGCGGCGCAGCCTACGGCCTCGCACGCGGCACGGGCTGGGTGCTCAGGGCAGCGAGGACGCGGCCGTGCAGGACGTCCGGTCCGCCAACGGCATGAACGACGCCACTCAGCCTCAGCACTTCACGCTGCGCTCCGGCAGCAGCACGTCCGGCAGCCCCGCAAGCAGCCGCGCCTCCTCGCAGTCTGGCTTCCGTGTTCAGGCGCAGTCCAACAACACGCCGCGCCCCTTCTCCTGGGGCCTGAACCCCGTGGCCCTGCCCCAGTCCCAGCCAAGCTCGCGGGCGAGCTCCAGTTCCGGGCAGTCACGCCGGAGCCTGGCTGCTTAAAAAAAATAAAAAAAAAACCCTCCTGGGGGAGAGTTTATTTTGCAACGGTTTTGCGCTGAACAAATGCTATTCTTCTAGGCCGTATATCAATATACGCCCTGTAAGAATAGCTTGTTTTGCACGGTTTTGCACGGTTTTGGGCCACAAAAAGCTATTAGTCCAGTCCGTACGTACATGTACGGACTGGACTAATAGCTTTTTTGCACGGTTTTGCGCTACAAAACGCTATTCTTCCAGTGTCTATATTGATATAAACACTGGAAGAATAGTTTTCCTTCGCCGTACGACTCAAAATGCGTGTATATAAACAAGCATGGAGGTAGTCACCGCCGGAGCCCAGGATGAGCTGACGCAGAGCCTGGACTACAAGCTGAAAACAAGCACAAGCTACGTGACGGCGCGGCATGACGTGCAGTACTTCCCCAGCTCGCTGAGCTCCTTCTCCCCCACAACCTCTCGGGTCTGCCGCATCCCGCTGACCAGCGGCACGTCGACCCCGAGTCCATCAAGATCGCCTTCCGCGTCAGGAACACGGACGGCACCCCGCTGGCCCCAGCCACGCCCAACCCCGCCTGCTTCGTCCAGCGCGTCCAACCGTGGCCGCGCATGACCTGCTGAAGGGCCGAGAGTACAACCGCAACAAGGCCATGGAGGGTTTCGACGAGGGCGGCTACGTGGACGTGCTGCTGCGCCCCACCATGGCGGGCATCCTGCGCTGCGGGAAGATGCTGCCGCCGCAGCTGAACCTGGTGATAGAAATTGAATTTGCGG